GCCAGAGGAGCTTTCTTTCGGTATATTTTTATGAGACCGCAAGAGCTTCCTCTCATTTTGTCCCCCAGGCTTAGAGGGGACAGTTTCTCAGTCCTGGGACAGCCAGGAGGAGCCTGAGGTGGCCTAAATTGTGTCATCTGTTTATTTCACAGCCCTGTTTATATATTGTCATTTTCAACCTACCGTGTGTCCCGAGGGAGGGAGGCCTGGGCTAAGATGTCGTTCACTGCTCTGGTTCAATGTGTTAAGTGTTTAATCACCTCTACCCACAAACATATCCTTTCGGTGAGCAACCTATATGATCTGTAATTATTTTTCCCTATGTTATGTTTGTTCTGATTACGTTTATTGAATTCCAACTCAAAAATTAGGGCTTTATGTATCTTTTTAAATTGCATCTTTCAAGTAATTCATTCTTATTATTTTACAAAGGTTGCTGTTTGAGAAGTTGCAGAGGCGCTGCTCCAGGCTACGAAAACCTTGATTAGTAGGAAGTTGAACCTCTTTTCTCCTCTGCCCATGCTTATTCATATATCTAAAGGGTCAGACTTGATTTTACTCTCTCAGCACTTGAGCCAGAGCTCATACCTGCCCCCTGGAGGTTGGAGGAATCATAGGTCACTTCCTGATGGGTAACCCAGGAGGACACCAGACCATGATACTGGTGGGGTCACCAGACACGAAGCCCAGGGGCCATACATGAAATCCGGCTAGCAGAAGTTCTACTTTCTTTGGCTTGCCTATGGCTAATGCTAGAGCATCTTCTCCCTGCCTGTTGAAACCTCACCAGGTCAATGTAAGTGCAATTTCTGCCCTTTATAAAGTTTTCTGAAACCTTGACTGTCAACACTCTCTTCCCATGGTTACCCTCTGCCTGGGTCATCAGTGTGAGAGCTTGTCGGATTGCCTCACATAACCTGCCCCCAGGTTAATAGGGACAGTATTTGTTCACCGTTCCTGGTGGATTCCGTTGCCTCATACATTCAGAATCATCATTCAAATTCACTCACCTGACCTGGTGTTGGGGTCAGCCTAGGAGCTCCAACTTTTAGGGAACAGTTGCCCTTATATGCTATAAGCCTGAAGTCAAGCCTACCTCAGCTCATCCTAACAAATTTCAATAACTTTGAATTTCAGCTGGGAGGGGTACGGGTCCGGTCCTTTTTCTACCAAATAACAGTTGGGTTTGATCACCTTCTTCACCAGCAGGATTCGAGTTTTGCTCATTAGTAGTCTTTGCCAAATAATATACATCGCATATATTAATTCTGCTTCCCTAGAAATCCTCTTACATAGTTTAAAATTTTTGTTAACCTTAACATTTTTCACATCACAGTTCATTTTAGACTTTAGCACCTCTGACATTATCATGACAGTCAGTATCACCATAATATTTAAATATGTGGCCTTTCTTCTCGTGTTTCACCAATTTAAAATCTGATCCTGTCAGTAATTTCCCGGGAAGTTACACTGGTTTCTCTCAACAATTTGTTCTTTCTTTCTTTCTTTCTTTTTTTTTTTTTTAACACAGCCAGTATGCAAAATGCATAGTTCCCTAGCACCAATTTTCCTAATAACTTTCTTTTCCTTTTACTGGATGAAACTATCAAGTGAGATAAGGACTTATCAAATGCTCTGCTTTTGAAGAGTGAGATTTTCAATTGAATGTGTACTTGAAGCCTAGTTTTTCATTCCTACCAGGTGAATTTAATTTATTTGCTTTCTTTAGTCAGGTCCTTGTAGTATAATCTTACAGTGATGATAGCTAATATTTATTGAGTACCCCCTTTATGCCAGGAAGTTTATGTTTAATCTCATATAATTCTCAGGGCAATGATAATCCACATTGTATAGACAAGGAATCTGAAGCACTGAGAGATTAAATAGTCTGGGGACCCCAACTGTAAGTACCATGTTCAGGGTAGGAGCTCAGGCAATCCAGCTCCCAAGTTCAGCCTTGTAACCACTATGCTATGGCACTACCTAATTTTATTTCTAATCTTCTTTTATCTTCACACAAATACTCTCCTCAATTCTCCAGATTTTTATGAAGGAATATATCTTTTTGGCACACAGCTACACTCTGTTCTCATAATAACAGTTCTGTTTCTTTTGAACCAAGAATGATGACATCCTTTCATGGTGCATTTCCAGTAGTGAATTCCATCCTTTCTCACCTCTCAGATCATATTTACTTTCATATCACAATCTCAGTTTCATTTTGTTGATTAATCATGTTTTCTACCTAGTCTGGCCTTTAGTTAATGTACAGGGGAAAAAATTTTAAAAAGATGCCCTGAGCAAGTTAATCTAACAGACCTCCCTCAAAAGTATACTAGGTTTTGACAAATATAGGGAGGAGTATACCCCATATTTTTATTCCTATTACTTATAATACTTACTTTTAAAGTGAAAATACTGAAGAAGGGT